CAAATAATTATTAAGTTCCTACTAGGTGCCAGGCACTGTACTCAGAGCTAGAGAGAAAATGATGAGCAAAACCTGGCATAGTTGCTGCTTTTATGTGCTTAAGTTCCACTGAAATAGACATTTTAATCAAATTATGGCACAACTGAGAAACTAATTGTAACAAGAGTAAGTAAAGGTATATGATGCAATAGTAGTATATTTTTAAGAGGAGCATTTAATTAGAACAGAGACACTTTTCTGAGAAAGCGATTTGAGCAAAGATCGTAAAAAGAGGAGCCAAAGACTGAGGCAAGAACAGTTTGAAGAAAGAACACAGTGACAGAAGGGTGGCACTCACACTCACTGTCTGCAGTTTGCCCATTCTCTCCTAAACAAAAGCACCCATCTGGCTTTTGTACCCTTCGCTCTAACAAAACTCTTCTTATCAAGATCCCGATGACCTCCACGTTGCTAAATGTGGTGGTCATTATCAATTCCCATCTCCCTTGACCTAAAGCCACACTGAACATAACTTATCACTCCTTCCTCCTAAATCACTTTCTCCACTTGACTGCCAGATCACCACACTGGGTTTTTCACTGGCTGCTCCTTCCTGGTCACCTTCGCAGATAACTCCAAAGTCACTCAAACTCTATGGAGTCCCTCTTTTGGTGATACCAACAACTGCTGTCAAAACACTACTGTGAAATCCAAAATTACATCTCCAGTCGTATCTTTCCTTTCATTTCCAGATTCATTATCCAGCTGCCTCCCCACAACTCACCTTGAATGTCTTAGGGGCATCTCAAATGTACCACTATGGCCAAACTGAATTACCAACCTCTCTTTCTCTCCTCATCTGCAGACTTTCTCATGTCAGCCAATGGCAAGTCCTTCCTTCCAGTTGCTCAGACTGGAAACTTTGGAGTCATCTTTGACTCTTTTACTCTCACACCTCACAATCTGTTAGCAAAATGTGTTGACTATACCATCAAAACGCATCCAGAGCCTGGCCTCTGCTCACTACTTCCACTGTTATCGTGCTGACCCAAGCCCACCACCACTTCTCACCTGGACGAGACTTTAGTTTTCTACTTTCGCTTCCCACAGTCTCTGTTCAACAGAGGAGCGATTTTAGAAAGTCAGATCATCTGCACAAAACCTTCAATGGCTTCACATCTCAGTAAAAAAAGACCAAGTTCTTTCAATCTCCTGCACGATCTCCTTCTGTCACCTCCATTCTATGGGACTCTGTGTCCCACAGGCCTTGGCACTAACTGTCCTGTCACCAGAATGTTCCTCCCCAGGCAACTAAATGGCTTGTTCCCCCTCCTACTTCACATCTCTCAGATGTCTCCTTCTTGATTTGGACTTTTCTAATCACATTATTAAAAAGTGAACTTTGCCCTCCACAAGCTGGTACTCTCCTTCCCCTTTTCCAGTTGATTTTTTTTTTTCTACACTGTATGGCTGCATTTCATTTAATGTATATTTTACATATTTAACTATCTCCTCAGTAGAATGCAGGCTCTATTATAGTTGGGATGTTTATATATTGTGCTCAATGCTATGTTCTCAACGTCCTGTTGTACAGTAGGCTCTCAACAGACACCCGCTGAGTGAACATACAGGTGAAAGGGACTATGAGAGCGGTGACCAAGGAGAGTTCTGTATGGTGGAGGCAAAGAGTGGGATGTTACGTGAGTCTGGAGAGGTGAAAGGGACTGGATAAGGTGAGGCTTTACACAGAAGTTTTGCCTGTAAGAGCAGTGGGACACCCTGGATGGTTTCAGGGAAAAGAAATTCTGATCAGACTCCCAGTTTCAAAAGACCACTCTGGCTGCTGCGTGGAGAACCAATGGAGAAGGCCATCGTGAATAATTGCTAGGTATTGGTCCTAAGAGATTACAGAAGTTTGGAGAAAGACTGTACTTAGGCAGATGAAGGGAAAAGAATACATTTGAAGGACATTTGGAAGATAAGACTGGCAGGACTTGGTAATAATTTGGCTATATAAGTATAAAGAGAAGAAGACATACAGAATGATACTTAGCTTTCAAATTTTCACAAGTGGGTGGATAGTAGAGTCCTTTACTGAAATAAGAAGTACTGGAAAAGAATCAGATTCCTAGGAAATAAGTATGCATTTGGTTTTAGGCACGCTGAGTTTGAGATGCTTCTTCTGAGATATCCAAGAAGAAATATCAAAGAGATAGATAGATGAAAGCTGAGAGGCATTACAGAGTCAGGTGATGGTGAAGTCAGGGGTAAGAGCGAGATCATATTCGAATTGGTACAGAAAGGGCACAGAGCCTTAAGAAACTACTCTACCCCCGCCTCGTGAGTTGGATTAAGGAGGTTGAGCCCGAAAAGGAGACAGAGGGGAGTGGCTTTTGTTTTGCTTTTTAAATCACACTCATAAGTTACTTCTTTTTCAAATTCTGACTAAACCCAGTAGAATCAGAATGTAACAAGGCTTGGCAAGTTAGATCATCTCATCAAACCTATACATCTGTTCAAGGATAGATGACTTACATAGAAATTATGTGAATAAATTACAGTATCTGTCTCTTGGCAGCTTCAAAATACATCAATATACAGAAAAACTATCCCCCCCCAGCCCAAATATATATGATTCAGCTTATAGCAGGGTTTTTTCCCTTTTTTTTCTTTTTTGAGTTAGTCTCACTCTGTTGCCCAGGATGGAATGCAGTAGCCTGATCATAGCTCACAGCAGCCTCAACCTCCTGGGCTCAGGTGATCCTCCCACCTCAGCCTACCGCACAGCTGGGACTTCAGGCACGTTCCAACACATCCGGCTAATTTTTTAATTTTCTGTAGAGACGAGGTCTCACTATGCTGTCCAGGCTGGCCACAAACTCCTGGTCTCAAGCGATCCTCCCCCCTCGGCCTCTCAAAGCACTAGGATTACAGGCATGAGCCACCGCACCCAGTCAAGAGTAATGACTTAAAAAAAAAACCAAACTCATTTTAAACAAATGATTCAATATTTTGAAAACACTACATTTGGATTTTTTTTTTTAATTGAAGTCTCACTCTATCACCCAGGCAGGACGGCCACCACAGCCTTGACCTGCTGGCTCAGGGGATCCTTCCGCCTCAGTCTTCCAAGTAGTTGGAACTACAGGCACACGCCACCAAGCCCGGCTAATTTTTTGATTTATTGTAGAGATGAAGTTTCACCACGTTGCCCAGGCTGGTCTCGAACCCCAGACTCGGGCAATCCTCTCACCTCGGCCTCCCAGAATGCTGGGAGTATAGGCGTTAGCCACCGCGTCCGGCCAATAGCTTCCCCCCATATGGTATCCTTAAAGCCTGCAAGAATACTAGGATATTCTAGGAATACTGGGGATTATTTTTCCCTTTAGTCTCATACAAAACCGATTCGACAATTTGCCTCCCAAGCCCTGCCTGGGATTGCATTTGATAAATAAAGCACACAAGCATCCCTATGCCAAGACAAGCGGAGGGGCAATTGCACAGGGGTCCCTCAGGCCAGGGCGGGAGCCCAGACAGCGGCTGTTACGCTGCCCCTAGCACTCCTTCCTTGGCCTTGCTTAGGACGCTGCTCCCTCCGACCCGGGACCAGGAACCCCATGACCTGGCTTCGCCCACTACGCCGCGGGCGTGGGCAGCGGACCAGTCCTTTCCACCCAAGTTCCTGGAAAGAGTCCCTGGACGGAGGGCAGTAACGGGCAGTAACCCTAAATGGCCTCGTCTCCAAAATCCTAAAGGAAACGGAGTAAGGAAAGACGCTGTCAAAAGAAAGGTGACAACCCAGCCGCCAGCGCTCACCCGGCCTGCGCTCTCGGCCACCCCGGCCACTGCCAACCGTCCGCCTGCCGGCAGCCACCGGCATCATCGCGATGGCTCCTGGGGGTTGTAGTTTCTGTCGCAAGTAAAACGCGTCGGCGGCGTGAAAACTACATTTCCCAGAAGTCAGTGCGAAGACGCCGCGGCTACCTAAAAATCTGTGACTCGGCGTAATAAAGAAGCCGTCACTATTTTCAGGCTAGTCTTAGATGAGAGTCAGGTTCTTCCAGGGGTGCCTGCGAGCCCTCTTTCTTTGTCGTGCTTGCCTCGTGTGTGATAGTGAACCTCCCCTCCTTATTTTTCCTTTCCCTTCTCCAGGCCAGAGTCCAAACGTCCGGAACGGAAAGCGCCCCGAGCGCAAAGCTTGGCGCCTCCGGTCGCGCACGCGCCCTGTTTGAGTCGCGCATGCGCAGCAGCCGGCGGCGCTGGGCGGCCCCGCGGCGGACTTGGGGTCTAGAGGGAGCCTGGTGGAGGGCGGGGCTTTTTCCGATGGCTTTGCCTCGGCGGGTCGCGTCCGCCTGGGCGGGGAAGAAGGCGCTGGGGGCAGGGGCGGCTCCCGGTGTGAGCCGGGCGGAGAAAGGGGAGGGGCTGAGGGTGAGGACCCCCTCTCCCCTCGCTGCTCCCGCCCTCTGGGCTGCTCCCCGTCGATGGGGCCGGGCGAAGGGGCGGGCTCTGCGCCTCGGGCCCGGCCGCTCCGCCAGCTCCGCCGCCCGAGGCCTGCCGGGGCCGCCCTGCGCCCTGTGGCTCGGCGGCGGGGCCTGGAGAGAGGGCG